AATTTGCAAAATAAAAATAAAAAAATAACTATTATTATGAAATAAATAGGTTAACATTGAAATCTATTTTTTTCTTTTAAATTAATGATGTGAAATTTTCACAAAGTACAAATTAATGATATAGACAAAATTTGTTGTCCATACTAACTTTAAAATTTTATTTAATCACAAAATTACCATATAGTTAAACCTTAATTTTGATCTCAAACTTTTTTATAGACACCAAGTTAGTCCCTAAACTAAATAAAAACCTGTTTTGGGACAAAAAAATTAAAATTTAAAATTTGATAAATTGAAATAAGAAAAAAAAAATTTATGATCAGTGGGAAATTGAGAGAAGAGGAAATAGTTATAATATTGTTGCATTAGCAACTTGAACCCTTGACAAAAAAGCTAAGGGCGTTGGTGCACTGCCATCATAGTTAAGGCCGTAAGTGCGAAATAAGAATTTATTCAATTTAGGGATTAAATAAAAAATATATATCAAAATTAAAAGACTAAAATTAAAGATTAACCTTTTTCTTTTACTTACCTGCTCGTGTTATGACACACAACTTGTTTCTACTACCTCAGCAGTAGAATAAATTAATTTATAATAATATCATTTGAATTAAGATGCAACTCCATTTTAATAATGTGCTAAATTTTCATTAATCATTTGTAGGACATTTGCAATATAATAATGGTAATATAATGGTTGCATAAAAGTAAAAGTAATGATTGTATAATATCCTGTTGCTCTTTTTAACATATAAAATTTTGGAAAATAATAAATGTGGAATACATAATGCACTTACGTCATAATTAGTTTAAGTGCATTGCCTATTTTCCAAAAACAAAAAGTAGTTTAAGTGTATTTCTTAAAAATAAAAGTATAATATAATTTAAATTGTATTAAATTATATTATATTAATTATTAAATAAAATTCACACTCCTAATATTAAGATCTTCCTTTATGTAATAATTTTTGTATTTATAATTAAATATAATTTAAATTATAAAATAAAATTCCCTTTTAAAAAAGTATTGAAAAAGAAAAAGAGTCAATGAAGTTCTAAGTGCACCTAGCGTTTTCAATTTTTTTTGGATGTAACCCCAACCTAATATTGACTCTTTACCCGCAATACAAGTACTTACGTCACGTATTGAATCAGACTGCAGTTTGGGTTGGGATCCCCCACGCGGCGAACACCTTATTAAATAAAAATTACCTTTCGTAAGTAGGTTGACATTTTGCATCCATCCCCGTGAGATTTCGTGAGGATCCCATCATGGGGGTAGGGCGAGAACCGGGGCATTTTTTACTCATGAAATTATCTATGGAATTTTTTCTACCCCATGAGATCTTGGAAGGATCTCCATCTTTGGAAAAAATAATAAATAATAAATATATAAATTAATTTTATTTTAAATTTAATTTAACTCATTAGAGTAATACATAATATATATTTTAAATTCAAATTAAATTTAACTTAAGAATGTTGGTTTAATTATTTATATTTGATTAATCTTTATTTATATTTGGAACAAAT